AAACAATCTCATTCTTTATGTACAAAATACTTATAATCTTTAACAAAATCTTACCAACTGTTGTGAAGATAAATTAAGAAAGCTCAGTTATTTTATATATTGTTGAACTGTATATCATTCTCAATATGAGAAGTAGCCAAATGGGTTCAACCATGTAACCATAAGGTTAAATAAGTCATAAGATTGATACTGCAAATACATCCCCAGTTGCTTTCAAAGAGGTAGAAGCCATGAAAGAACAAGGGAATCATCTTTCGTACATGTGAAGAAGGATGGTTCCAGAAGAATCTGCATGGACTAAATGTGAATGAAATCATTCACCACCGAAGATTAACTACTTTAGATGCATTATCTGGATCAAATGGTTTGAACAGTGGACTTGAAGAATGGATATTGGCAAGTCCAACTTCACAAAGCATGTAGAGGGAAGACAGCCTTTATTGTCGAAATTTGTTTGTGGCAACTTGTGTTATCATTCAGATTATGTAATGCACCTTACATTTCATTGATTAATGGAATTTGTTCTCTCTTAACTTCCCTGGAATGCTTTACTCATCTTCTTGGTGGCATTGATTGCGGAATGAGAACATCAAGCTGAATCCCAAGAAGCATGAATTGTTCTGTCAAAGAGAGTTTCATGGGAAACATAGTCACTGGTTAATTAATATCTACAGACTTAAATAACATTAAATGTGTTCAGAAATAGTCAGCACAAAAGTATTTGTATGGGGTAAGAGCATGTATGGTGAATTGTGTTCTTACTGTCATCATTTTGTAAAATCATTCTCTGATATAGCTCCGCCTTTACACAAATTACATGTAAAATCGAATAAGTTTTGTTACGCTGCCGATTGTGAACAAGCATTTAACAAGCTGAAAAAAGAATTAACCACTACTTCTGTATTGACATACCCAACTCTTAAAGATCTATTCATATTAAATAGATGCAAGTGATTTTGTAGTACAAGAAGAATGGAGATATTGTACAATTCAGAAAAGTTACAAAGCGTTGAATGAGCCCTAAGTCACTTCCATCATTAGCTATACAGAAAAAACTTTACTCTTCAGACAAAAAATTGGTACTTCCACAGTTTTTAGTCATAATCACTCAATCATCTCCATAATCTTCCAACAACTGGACACTTAAGTGTTAAGACACCAGAGAGAGTAATAGAAAGCTTCTATTGGGTTAGGTTCCAGGGATCTGTGGAGAAATTGTTTGAATAATGTTGTGAGCAAAAAGGTCCACAAAAACAGCTTGGACAGCTGTGGTATTGGTTGGAGCATAATTTGATTTGAGAGTTGCTGTCAATTTGCTTAATCCTTTGCAATAGAATAACAACTAGAATAAATACATCATGGTTGTAATGAACCATTTCACTAAATATCTATAAATATATACTATTTTTAACCAGGATGCAGACTCTAGGAAGGAGATGTGAATAATTTGTTCCAAGGTTCAGGGTGCCTATGGAACTACACTCAGCTCAAGGATGGTGTTTGCAGAATTGTGTTAAATACTTGGAATAAAAAAGACCAGGACAACAGCCTTCTGATGGAATAGTGAAGAGATACAACCATTTGGCAGCATTTGTATCCTCAATCTTCTCTCCACCATCAAGCAAAGGCAAATTAACAACAACACACATATACAGTATTGTTCAAAATAGTGTTAATGTCCAAACGTATATGAAAGGTTGCAAAAACTCTGGTTTGTTTGCTATATGCAAACTCGGTTATAATTTTAGGCATATGAACATAAATAATCACTACCTTCAGTACGTCAATACTTACCTAAACTATTTCACAATATTGACCATACATATTTAATCAGTTTTCTGAGACTTTAAATTTCCTTTTGCCCAGAGCTAGGGGCATTAATGAAATTTGGCCAGGAGACAAGTTCTAACTTTTTATACCCTTCAGTTTAACCTGCCTACACTTGAAAGTTAATGTTTTCCTTAACTGAAAATGTATTTCCAATAGATATTCCCCTCTGCACATAGCTATTTTCCTCTTGAAGTCATGCTACCTGCCTGAAAGACAAAATTCTTGTGAAATTGTGCTACTGCATGATGATTTATCATGCAGCTAAACCTTCTACCAATAAGAGTGTGACACATCTCCTTGTGCAACTCCTCCCTCTACATTCGCACATGAAAATCTTCATTCTTTGACAAGGTGATAAAGAAAGGTGTACCGGGAAGTGGATAGGATGGGTGGAAATGTGTATGAAAGTGAGTATCTATATTAAGTACATTTTCAATTAAGGAAAATGTTAACTTCCAATACAATCACTCACTCCCATGCTGACATGGTGGAGGGACCTGTGCAATTATCACCTAAATAAATCTCCTTTTGAAAGCATCTAAAGAAAGCCCCATGGGGTGCAATGCCCAATGGCAGAGGCTCCATATGGACACACTTATAGGAGACTGCATCTCGTCTCATCCAGAATATACTTTTCACCCATGTATAAGAACGGAAGAGGCCCGAAATGTGTCGCAAGGAATAGGTACATGATCACTGTTGGACAGTCGAGTGTGGTTGGAGCTTGTTCAAACTGTACCATGTGCATGCTTCAACCATCAGTCTCTATGGGTCAAAACCAGCTGTGGGAGTAGGGCACTGTATTGGACACATTCAGTATGGATACTTATATAACCACTTCTCAACCATTAGTCTATATGGGTCTCCTTGCCTGCTGTGGGAGTTGAGTTTGTAAGATACCACAGTTGTAAATTCCTTAATACCATCTACTCTGCCATATGAAACTAAGGGTTCATGCCCTTGCAGGAGTAGGAAATATGAGAGATGGATACATATAGAGAAGTATGGTCCAGCATAAATGTGTCCAAATTCCACTTGGAGATTTGTGATGTATCAATGTTAAATGGAGTGATCTGCACTACATTTTGAAAACACCCTTGCTCAACTTCTCACCAGAGAGGGATCCCTTGTTGTAGCCTCCATGGTCCACCATTCCAATAGCTAGGAGCTAGTAAGGGGCAAGGGTCTTCCATGCTTCACTCAGAAGGGGTGAATTCACATAGGGGAGGCCCAGATCCCCACTGGTCTGTCTGTCCAGAAATATATTTTACTGGAGACAGTGCAATGGGTGATCAAGAAACCCTATATTTCAAAGCCAGCAAATGTTACTCAGAAAAGTGGGCAGATGCACAACTCTGGTGCTAGTTTTTTCCATGATGGAAAATAGAATGGGTACAGTCTGGATCAGACTTCAATGTTATATAGAATTACCACACCTAAAACTCTAGTGATCTTGTGGAATGCTCCATCTCACAGTGGACACTTATAGAGCCAGGATAGATGGTATGAACACTTTCCATTATCCCAGCTTGATGTGGAATTTTGGGTAAGAAAAACTGGGAGGCAACACTAACGACCCATTGGAATCCTATAGTAACTGGGAGGTGAGAAATATGTATATTTACTTGCCAACAGATGGGTGGTAGATAGAAGAATGGTCATGAGTAGAAGTCTAAGTCCTAAAGGACACATGACAGCCAGGAGATGCAAATAGTGGGTGATGAAAAAGTGTGGGGTAGTCCACATGTGAGCCCAGAGAAAAACTGAAGAGAGACTCGAGACAGCATACAATAATCTGCCTCCAGAGCAGCATATATGAGATGTATGAGCTGGGGGATCCAAGCCATAATGGAGGAAGGAAAGAGGCCCCAGGTACAAGTTAAGGAGTAATGAATTATATCTAAATGATATATTTTCCATGGACATGTAAAAAACTAATAAACAATGTCTAAACATTAAATCCTGTGAGTTAAATGTTAAGAAGGAATAAATTATATCTAAATAGAATTTCAACATGTTACCTGATAATGCAGGAAAGATGAGGTATAAAATAGTAGGAACAAAGTTAAACCCAAAGAAAATGCTGGGTGTAGAACTCTCTGATTAGGGAGAAGAAAGGAAACCAAGGTTAGAAGGATTACATAAAACAAGTGGGAAAAGTCAAAAGATATTCATTAGGTAGAGAAGTATTCCAGCAAATTGGGTGGAAAAAGCACTCAAAATCATCCTCTTCAACGAAAGGCCCAAAGAAATGACAAAGAAAATGAGTGGAAGGGATGACAGAGAGACCTGCCAACAGAAAAGACACCACCACACATTGAAATATGGCTGTCATGTTGTCCACAGGGAAAGAACTTCAGCAGAAATGGTGGTAATCTCTTCACCCGTATTAGTAGAAATAGAGTTTACATTGATTTATGATATCATATTGAGTATGTTAAACTCAATCAAACAGAAATTTGATAGTCGAGAAAAAATCACAAATCTCAGTAAACACATCTTGACACAACTGTGCCAAGGAAAAGAATGAGGATTTTTGTGCATAAATGTAGAGGGAGAATTTCTGCAAGGAAGTATGTCACACTTCTGCTGGTGAAAAGTTTAGCTGCATGATACATCATAATGCAGTAGATCCAATTCACATGTTTTTTTGTAAATTTTAGGTGGAAGTTTTCACAAGGCTAGTGGCATGCAAGTCTCTCAGGCAGATAGCATGACTTCAATAGGAAAATAGCTCTCTGTGTATTGGAACAATAGTATCTTTTCTCTATCCTACAATTTGCCCTATCATAATTCAGAGACATGATATCTTCAAACATCATCTGATAGGTCCTAACAACCAATAATAGCTTGTCTCAATGTGAAGATGAAATTTGTCATGGGAAATTCTAGTTCTGGTTTTAACTTTGCAATGTCTTCCAATTTAGTATATAAATATATCTGTACATGTCCTTCGATTGATTATTCTATTAAACACTTCAGAGCACTTAACAAATTTAATTTCATCTGTTTCAATAATTTAACACAACCACTTCAAAAATAGCAATTTAAACCTTTATTGTTCACAAAACTTGCACTTCTGAATACTTTTAGGCTTAACAAAAAATATTACCATATACTGGTTCAAGTTATAAAAGAATAAAATAATAATACATGAAATAATACACACACACACAAAAATCTGACAGCAAAACAACAAAAAAGACCCAACTAATAAAGACACTTAAGTTTGGGATTTAATTAATCAAAAAAATGCAATATGTGTTTGGGATTTAATTAATCAATAAAGTGCAATATGTACAGTTATGATTTATTAAAATATGCATTTTGATTTAGAATTAAAGCTCAGCTGGATAATTTTATTCAGTGTAAGTGTGTTCATCCTAAGTTACTTTATAATGCATGTTTCAAGTTTACATTATTAGAAATTTAACCAAACCAAAGACACAAAAAGGCCTCCAATCTGAAGGAAACCAAACCACTGTCTTCCTTCCCTTCGTCATTCACTTTTTTCTTGTTTCCTGCTATACTAAACCAAAGAAACATACAAGTCATACAAACCCCTGTAACCTCAACTCCCAACCAACATGTCATCATTCTCTCATTAACAAATGAAAAGGGATATCTTTCCCTTAACATCATTAATGGCAAATCCAAAATCAACTACACTTCACTTTCACTATAGAGTTAGACAAATGTGCTGCACAGATGGAAATTTCATACAGTTTTAATATATATATTCATTGCTAAACATAAAATTAAAAACAAGGTTTTATAATGTAATTTTCAGAAATAACTAAATTTCAAAACATACATAAAATGGATTTGTTTAATTATCCTTATTTTGGATGATCTTGGGGTAACCTTAAATTTCTGAATTTGGGCATTCACATGAGAATGGTCTCAAAATAATCTTTAATCATGTCCTATAATAAGTCAAACATTATCAATTAATAATATACAGTTCTTTGTATTTACACATTTTCCATAGATAGTAAATATACAAATTCAAAAGTTTTTTCAATAAAACAAAGAGTTTTGATCCTCTTTATTAATTATTGATGCACAAGTATCTTATAATATTTGAGAAGTTGTTTATTTACAAAAGCTGCAATTTTTTTTTTCATATTAGACATATTGAACAATATTAGGGAAAAAACTTCCTTGCCAGTTTAGTGCTCTAGTTCCAAGGTAATATCAACCCATACATGTTGATGACAGAGAATGCTGCCCATTGAAACTTTATTAATATTAGGTGAGGAAGTCTGTTAAAATAATGTTTGGTTACTATCACAAAATGAAAATGATGAGTTAACATTTTTGAAGTTTAATTCTCAAAATTTTTCATTTTAACATTCAAGTTTGCCACATTTTTCACCAAATAAGTAAAGTTCAGATAATTTGTCATCTTTAGCAATTTTCTGGAATTAAACAAAAGAAAAGTTATTTTCAATGAAATATTGAATAAAAATTACTGTTGGAAGAGAGGTTGAAAACCTCTAACAATTAATTGCTCTCTTCTCATAATAGATGACAGTGTTTGTGAATTACTTGTTCTATTCTCCTCAAACACAACTGCATTGGTCTTGCAAGTTTTTATCTTGTCCAAAATTTGCTTTGACCTAAGAAGGCGATCAACTTTGTCTATCTTGCTCTGGACACCCTAAAAAAAAAGGAAAGACAGGCACAAAAAGAAAGATTTAAAGATTTAATCTCATAAAAAAAAATATAAATACATATATATTTATTTATTTATTATGTTGCTGGCTGTTCTTGTCTTATAATATTATTTTAACCAACATTTTCTGTAATTTATTTTTACCTTTTTTCTATCTTATAACTACTCTAGTTAAAATTAAATTATCATTTTCTTACTATCTTTCTCTCTATATGTCTATATATTCTTTCTTTTTCATTATATGAGGGTTAGATAGGTTTGGATATATTTTCAGTATACTACCCCAAATAACTTATTTACTCTCTCATACATACATATATGAGTGAGACTACTCTTTTACTGACAGGAAATATACTTTTTTTTCATACAATGATGTTTTGACTGTCCTACAATATCCATTATCAGTGATATGTGTAGTGACTTTAGTATTTTAAAAATGTAATTGTTCTTGCCAATGAAAAATAAATGTGTATTATATATATATTGTAATGTCTTGGTCTTCCAAAAGTAGTGTTTTATATTGTCAACACATTACATCATCTCATTGTTGCACATTCTTGTGTTTTTATTTGGAACGTTCTGCTTTCCATTATTCTTTTGTATATAGAATAGTCTTTGATAAAGGCTTATAGTCAAAACAAATGGTTGAATAAAATAATTCTACACTAATAGAGTCAAATTAGTAACATTATTGCAATAGTACTTCTTTATATACAGGATTTCTAGAGTAATACAAAAGAATTATAATTGCAAACACCAAAATCTATAAGTCCACCTGTCTTAAGTAAGTACAGCCTATATTCGATAAAGAGATAAATTAAAACTGTAACTTGTCAACATTTTTTTGCTTTAGTTTAGTTAGGGCTAAACTTTACCATGCTTAATACAATCAATTAATAAACTTATAATGTTATTCTACAACCTAACATTAAACCTTTTTAAAAACTTTGATAATGATCTTTATATTTTGTTGTACAAAATGTTTAGTGATGTATATTTATATCTGCCTTTTGTTTACATCAGCTGATAGGAAGTGCACAACACGTGCATTTAGGTAGTAAGGTGAATGCATATTTCAGGACAGACAAAAAAATTGAGTATTATTATAATAGACTTTTTGATTGTCTTAACCTAAATATAAATACAAGCTTAGTATTCCAGTCAGCACTTGGAAAGTTAAAAAACATTTCAAAAGATTATGTTTCCTAATCTGTGTGTCTCCTACAATTTAAAAGTAATACTTAATTTTGGTTTATGATTATATTTTACAAGATATTCTGTTTTACTTCAGCATCATTTACACACACAAACATATTACAAAGTGCATTTAGTAATTCCCATGTCACAATTTTATTTGTCAGTTTAAAATCGCCTCTCCATAACTCAAAGCACCTTTGAAACAAAAAAACAAAAGTTCAGTATGTAATTAAACTTGAAACATGAACTACAAACGTTATTGCTTATTAACAAATCAAAGATTGATGAAATATAGCATTATATTAAGAACTTATTGTAAGGTTGTGGCAACTGGATATTATTATTGTTGTTATAGTTATTAACCAACACTCACTGTCTTAATTATTAATTACTTTTTCATTATTAGATATTAATTACAAATATATAAACTAATAAGTAATTAGTATCTAGTAATGAAAGTATGTAAGCATTGTTTTTTTTATAGCAAAGTCACATTGGGTTACCTGCTGTGTCCATTGAGGGGAATCAACCCCTGATTTTAACATAGTAAATCTGTAGACCGTTGTCTCACCAGAGGACAGTAATAAAAGTAACTAATTAATAATTAGACTTACATGATCATACAGACTACTGTAATATGTCAAAGATGGCACTGTATTAAAAAACGAAAATTATTATTGTTATTTTTTAATTCTTATCAGTTCTGGTCATTGTGAATTTATCCTAATATGATTTATTAGTTTAACCCTAAGTGCACAGGGTTAGCCCATTGGACTGAGCCCATATTGGAGAATGTTAATTATAAAATTTGGTAAGCTTTTGGTAAACATTAAAAGTATATTTTAAACATGATTAATCTCTGAATTTACTTCAGTTTAGTCAGTCTGACTCAGACTTTGACTAGTTTGAGTGAAAGGTGATTTTCATGTCATAATGAAAAAACCTTTTTTTTCATCTTACATTCTTCATACTTCATTTACATAACCTCTAGAACCTCCTAAGTTAATATCAGTTATTTTCAGCAAAACCTTGTATCTTATCTGTTACTTTCTCTACCTTAACACTACCTGGACTCAAGTCTATTTGATTGACCTTGTAAAGCCACAAAAAAATCAAAATTAGTTTTTTTTTCTAGAATGATTGGAGATTGTAACAGAAAATTACATAGCCTGGTCATTAGGGCACTTGACTTGCTATCTGCTGGTTGCAAGTTTGAATCCCCGTCACTGAACATGCTTGCCCTTTCAGCCATGGGGATGTTTATAAGGTGATGGTCAATCCCACTATCATTGGTAAAAAAGTAACCTCCCTTTAGTCTATCACTGCTAAATTAAGGATGGTTAGTGCAGATAGCCCTTGAGTAGCTTTGTGGAAAATACAATTCAAACAAACCAGATAATTACAATTACTTACCCTAAACAATCTTAGATTTTTAACAGTTTGCATCCATTTCTTTTAATTCTATTGCATTATTGCTCTCTGAACTTTTCTTAACTACTATAAATAGCAATAAATCATCTAGCAGGAGTGCAAAGAGTTTAGAGTAAATAAAATTTCAGGTTACATCACACATCTAAATGCATGTTCTTCACCTGTTCCTTGAGTTAAAAATATTTTTTTTCTTCATTAAGTTTTCTTATGTAACCTAATAAGTTTTTAATTTTTTACATTTTAATTGCTTTGTTCAAAAAATGTCAATAAATAAAGAATAAGAAGTTTAGCACTTATTTTAGGATCCGTCTTTACTAACTATAAGTTTTTTGCATTAAGTTGGTTGTCCAAAAAAAATTTATGCAGCTTTCAAATATTCATTTTAAAACACAAACAATAATTCAAATAGTAAAATAGTATGCCACAAAACAACTATAACTTTTCTAACTGACCTATAAAGAGGTTTATAAACTTTTCATTAATTACCAGAGCACTGACTTTGGTCTTCACTCAATAAAGTTTACTTGGGAAATAGTGACTTGTACAAAAATAGATTAACATAATTACAGACTTCACAAAATGGTCTTTCTATTAGTTATAATCATGTACCATTGACAAATAAATGTGAGAAAATAAGTAATTTCAAAAGCATGAAGAGTTGGGAGGAACTTCTATGGTAGGCGTAACAAATCTACTGATATCTTAGAAACTAAAGAGTGAGCGAGGTTCTTATTTCAATAATTATAGTTGGTGTATCTAATTGGTGAACATTCTGAAACCCATAGAAAGGAAACGTAACACATAGAATTCAGAGCAGAAAGGCATCATGTGATAGAAATATTTACTACTAAATTATGAAATCCAAACTTATATAATATTAAAATATTAATTATAAACTACATTTTGATGCCAAGTTCATTAATGTACATTAATAATAAAGTTGTTCAATTAATTTTTGAATGCTATAATTTTCCTACACTGAAAATGTATTTCCATAGATACTTACTTCCGTTCACATAATAGCTTTTCTTGTTCAGTGCTGCAATCTATATTCACAATTTTTTTTCCCTTGCCACTAGCCTTAGTACTCCAACCTACCTAACATGTTTAATGTGGTACAGCTGCAGTGTAGCATGCAAATAAGCATGCAACAACCCTCCATCAACACACCCTTTTGGCACAGGTGGCTCCCTCTATACTGTAGAATACAATCTTCACTTATAGATTAGGCAACATAGAAGCACCAGAAGTGGGGAAGAAAGGTGGAATATGTGAGAAGGGGGTAAGTATGTATTGAAAATATATTTTCAGCTTAGAAAAATTATAACTTCCAACATGATACCTTACCTCATATAATAGCTAGAATCCCATATTTAAAATGGTGGTGGGACTGGTGCAAAATTTACTTAGTTGAGCACCCTTCAGAATGTGTCTGAAGAAGAGTCTATGGAGTGTGATATCACCCTGTAGAGTAACACACTTGTGGGAGACTGTACCACATCTGAAGCAGGTATATTCTTTGCCCATTGTGAAAATACGTGACGCTAATTGGGGTCTAAAGGAAGTACATCCAATACTAGACTGGACATGCCAAATGGTGTACAGTGGCTAGGGCACATCAGACTGTAATTGGTGGGTCAATTCCAGTCCAAAACCAGGTGGTATTGGGTACTTATCGTCCGGTCCGCAGTAAGAGGAAGGTTCCTACTATTTTCACCTCAAGACAAGGAAGCAGAAGGGAAAATGAATTTTATCCTGCCAACCCAGTCAAGGCCCATATGCAGACCCAGTACACAACCAAAACCAACCACTTAGAAAACCGATATTTAGGCAATAGTAGGAAGGAGGAATGCAACATTGGTGGTTCACTCAAATCCAAAACCAGGTGGCATTGGGAATTTATCATCTAGTCCACAGTATGATCAAGTCTCCCTACCAGCCACATGTATGAGGACTTGTGTTGGTTGATCCAGCTCTAATCCAAAACCAGACCACTTGGGAACCCAGCCAGAGAGGGTGAACAGCAGTTTGGTGGATCATCTCCAATCCATAACCAGGCAGCATTGGGTATTTTTCGTCTGGTCTGCAGTAGGAGAATGGTTCACACCATCTACACTGACAGAACACCACCTCCCTACTCTCAATTGAATGGGATTGAGTACACTCAGGAGGATGACATCATGGTCCATCACCACAGCAGTTAGGAGCTAGTAAGTGGCAATGACTTCCATACTCCACTCTAGGACAGACATAGTTATGACACAAAACACCACGAGGATAAACCTACTAATGGTCTTGTGGAACACCCAATCTCAACAATGGGTGTTAAAGACCAGAAAGGCCATACAATATGGATTTATGGATTAGTATACCTGGACAGGCACCACTCACCACAGAGTGGGATCCAACATGTAAATTAGTGACCTTGAAAGAGAAATAAAGAAATATAAACTTACCCACTCACAGTTGAACTGAAATATCAAGAATGGCAACAGGCATTATGCAGTATCCACATGAGAAGGAGATGGCCACATGATTAAGGTAACGGAAGACGAATGTGTTAGGTGTGGTGTACACACTAATCTGAATGATTTTCTCAAATGGATGACGGAAATGGGCAGCCAGGTAAATGGAGTGGTGCCTGATCCAATGAGCGAACACATGGAAAAGACATTGGGAATTGGAAAACAAGAAAGAATAAGCCAATCTGATAAGCTGGAAAATCCATTCCTTAAGGGGGGTAGAGGAAATATTACCAAGAGAGGAAGGGTTTCAATGGATAAACAAATGGGAATGAGAACCATGGAAAGAAGCCATGCAGACAATATAACATCAGAAAGCACAAACAGGATAGAGTAGACAATCCAGATTGGAGCAGGAATACAAATGGGAAATGGAAGGTAGGAAAATAGGGGTGAATGTGATGTCACCTTCACAAGCTGCTGATGTTTAGGAAAAAAGCTGCAATCTGGATACAGGAGAACGCATGATATGCCAAGGGTGAAAACATCCGACCTACAACAACCACAGGCAAAACAGGCAAAAAATATGTCTCGAGGGACAAATGGTACAAGGAACAGGTGACCAAGGGTTTGAAAGGAGGTTGGGTATGTGCATGGAGAACAATAGTGAGGTTCCAATGAGGAAGGTGCATAGGACAAGGAGGACGAAGGAGAGGAAAGGAATGAAACAAAAGGGAGAGGACCAGAGAGGAAAACACTTGATGGGAAGGGAGAGACAGAAGGTATTGGAGAAGGCTGCTTGATGGACAGCAATGATAGACAAAGAGAAATCATAATTAAACAGTCAGGTAAAAAATTCAAACACATGAGGAACAGTAAAATGGGAAAGGAGGTAACCATGATGAAGATACTACCAGGCAAAAAAACGTGCCATTTTCTCTAATACACCAATAACAGGAAGGACAGACAGAATGGGAAAGGACCAGAGAGGAAAACACTTGATGGGAATGGGAGAAACAGAAGGTATTGGACAAGGCTGCTTGATAGCCAGCAATAAGAGACACAGAAAAATCATTACTGAATAGTCAGGTAAAAAATTCAGACACATGAGGAACAGTAGAATGGGAAGGGAGGCAACCATAGTGAAGAGACCAATGGAAAAAACACACCATTTTCTCTCATACGCCAATAATGAGGAAGGATGGACAGAATGGGAAAGAACAGAAGCTACCTGAGTGGAGAGTCCAGACTGCCTCTCAAGGGACCAGATGAATGCCACATGTTAAGCCAGAGTGTTATAACGTTGGGATGATAAACCAGCAACTGAGGTTGTCAAAGGAGAGAGAGGGATAGCGGAAATGGTAAAGAATGTGCTGAATGAAGGTGGGTAAAAACAAGAAACCAAGGCTGAGCAGGCCAAAAAGGTGCAATGAGAAATACCTGACACAGAATGGACTGGATAATGGATAAACTCAGGGAAGGAGATGGATAGGTGAATAGGCATACAGGTAAAGGTGTGACCAATCCTGACTGAAGGTGTCCACCACCAGAGCCAAAGGATGTGGGATTGGGGACCATAAAATGGATAACTTGGCACAGAGATGGATGGTAAATGCATCCAGAAGAGGAATAGAGGAATATCCTTCTGGTCACATAACCACCAAAAAATCTAAAAATCAAGGGACTACTCTGTGGGGAGAACCTTGTCGGGAAGAGACAATTGATCTGCAATAAGATGCAAAGCACCTGGATCATGACACACCAGTAGGCATATGGCAATGCGAATGAGCTCAAAAGAGGACTTCTAACATCTGGAAACAAAGCAAATGTGAATGAGTACTCCCATTGCTGATGAATATAAGAGACAAAGGTTGATTTGTTGGAATGGATCATGACTACTTTGCCTTGAATTAGAGGCAGGAAATGATCTAGAGCCCAAAGAATGGCAAGATGCTCCAGTATATTGATGTGCATAGCTGATTCGACTGAAGACCTATAGCATGCTATTTCCTGTGTATCCAGAAACACTCCCCAACTTCTCAGAGATGTATCCATAAAAAGATGCAATTCTGGATGGAGAGGAGGAAGAGGAAAACCCATTGTGGTGTTGTCTCTGTCAAGCCACCAGGCTAAATCGACATACAGTGAGGTAGGATCTAGGGGATCCCAACCAAGATTCCACTGATCATGCAACACCCATTGAAGGGTGTGCATGTGAGCACAAGCTAAAGGAATGAGGGCATCCATGAAAGCCCAAGTCCCCAAAAGACATAGAACCTCTCATGCAGTAAAAGAAGAAAAAGATCAAGCTTTCAGAACTAATAGCTCTATTGCCCACAAATGAAGAGGAGAAGGCTGGGCCCAAATGAGACAAGAGTTGAAAAACACCCCCAAGTGGATAAGGTATTGGATCAGAAAAAGAAAGTACTTCTTCATCTTGACAAGCCAAGTCACCTGAGCCACATCTTGAAGAAGCAACTGGGTGTGCTCATGAGTTGTCTGATGAGAAAGAGCTATTAGCAGCCAGTTGTCCATGTAATGGTGAAACTGTATATCGTGAGAATGAATAAGTCAAGCAAAGGTCCTGACAATTTGACAGAATATGTAAAGTGCAGACACCAGAACAAACAGCAAAGCACAAATTGATAAACTCGATCCTTATGGACAAACTGAAGGTAACATCTGGATATTGGAAAAATATGCAAGTGAAAGTACACATCTGCAACGAACTGTAGTAAATGCCAACCAAAGTGTAAGGAGGGACTCTACGGTGAGATGAGGGAGATTGATAAAAAGGTTAAGACAGGAAACATATATAACAGGATGCCAGGACATAACTGAGGAGTGTTGACAAGCAGCCTCCACCCTGGACTCCAATGAGTCAGGAAGATATCCAAAAATCGTTCTACATAAAACTTGGGCCATATGGAGGTCCCATATCTAACAGCATGTCCCTATCCAGGAGATCCCAACAACAAAGAAGCCATGTTTGGAGGGAAAGGACTGAGGAAGACAAACAAGTATCTTATAACAACCACACCGAGGGGGGAGTGGTGGACAGCCTCGGACAAGAGATAGTTTGAGGAGAGGGACAAACAAAGGCAGGAAAATTTGGCATGGGTAAATCTCATAGAAGTTTCAGGATCCGAATCACAAACCTGGATCAAAGACTCTAAGGTTTGAAAATCTGCACAATGATAAAACTGTTCAGCATGGATCTCAATATCTGGAGAGGGAAAGAAAATCAGGTAGTCAGAGGAAGGGTTAAAATGCAAAGGAAAGGAGTGGAGCCATCTGACACAGGAGACACAGATACAAGGTAACACAACTGTGACACCATCTCCAGAAAGACTGAAGATAGTCTGGAGGAGTCCACAGGTGGAAGACAGAATTGCATAACAAAGAAAGGAGGTGGAAAGAGGCTATCCAAATTATCATCATCTTGTCCAGGTTCACCGGGAAAGGGAATATCTGGTCTGGGATCCAGAAACACCACAGGCCGCATAATGGACTCCAATTCACGATGTACTAAGACTGAGACCTCATCAGCCTGAAGCCTGAGAAACTGCAGATTGAGTTGTAAAAATAGTGTTAACTACTGTGGTAGTAGTATTAGTGATTTGAAATTCAGAATTCAGAATTGAACTGCAAGTGGAAACAAATATAACAACCTACAGTAACTCAGGTTAAACTGTAGTAAAAACAAACAAATGTGAAACAACCAAGTTGTTAAATAAATTGAAAAAAATCAAACATGAGCGAAATTTGAACACATCTTTATGCTACAGTGCTAAATCTAGTAGTAAGATTGGGTTCTACAGTGGAGAGGAAGCCAGCTGTGCCAGGAGGGTGTGTCGCACTCCTATTGATGGAGGGTTGTTGGATGCTTATTTGTATGCTACAATGCAGCTGTACCATGTTGCACACATGGGGTAGGTGGGAGTACCAAGGCTAGTGGCAAGCAAAAACATCTGTGCATATAGAGGGCAGCACTGAATGAGAAAAGCTATTATGTGAGCGGAGGTACAGTATTGTATCAGAAGTAACTGTAAAAGTTGTGACATGCCCGCTTTGACCCACACCTTTACACATAGGATTCAAACATATATAAAAGTTTTAAATCTTAGCTCATGATGAATCAATATCTAGCTAAAGCAAACTCTGCACATTGTATTAAATCATTGGTAAACAACTGGATAACAAATACGCTTACCATTGTGAAAGAGTTCAAATTCTCAGCTGTAGTTCGTATTGTGTCCTTTACAGAATCTGGAAAGCTTTCAGAGGGCAAAGAACTCAAAAGAGCACCATTCTCAATTGCTTCTTTCACTAACTGTAACAAAAGAAAAATAATCTTTTGATATAAATTCAAACACACGAGTCTTTACTCTAAAATTAACTATTGTAAATTGATATTAAACGTATGCATTGGGTACTGAAATAAATTTTTCAAGCTAGTCTGTGAAACCATATCAGTCATACAGAATATAGTTCATTTCAAAATTATTTTTATGGTCAAGATACTGTGATCTACTAACTATTTAGGTGATAATTTTTGCAAGCCAGAAAACAATTTTTGACTTTCACATCAGTTTGTACCATAGCCATTTTGTGTAAAAACAAAAAAAAGAACATAAAAAAATTTAAAACCTAGTTGTGCAAAAGACATTTTGATGAATACACAAGTAGAAGTAACCTTTTTTTAAACAATCACTTTAGGTCAACTTATATTATATGGTAATTACATCATCCTTTCCTCATAGTTGAACTAAAAGTTTAAAACCTAGCATGACATTGATAACTAATCTTTGCAACTTTTCTAGTAGACTGCCATATTCTCTAAAATAATAAAACCAAAACCTGAAATGAAATATATTCAGAGCATTATACAGAGTGAAAATGGTCCTGATGGATCGACAAGGTTACCAAATAATTCACGTTGTCAAAAAACCATCCTATATATATACTAATAATATGCTAAAAATGTCGCTATCATTTCCAGTATAACAATTCAAAAATTTCTAAAACAGCAACTTTTTCATCTACTACCTACCTATCTAATCATATCAGTGGGGATAGCCCCTAGACAGCTCGGACTATCACTACAAGATTTCTCCAGCTTACTTGACTTAATATTCCAATAAATATATACAGATTTTTTAAAAATGGTAAGCAATTCATGCACGTACTTAAATATCTTTTCAACTCAATTCAAACCAACAGATGGCACTACATATCAATAGATAGACATGGAACAGTTTTTAAAGGTAAAGTATATACTTTATAGTGGTATAACATAAAAAGTAAATAAGCAAGAGTATTAACAAATTATGAATTTTAAAATGAAGTAGAGATCCTGCTACAAAAAGTAATGAAACAAGAATTAAAACCACAATCACAAATTTATAAAATCTAATCCCTACTTTGGCAGCTTTATACACTTATCTGTAGGCTAAAATAAGTATTATATTTTATAAATTTGTGATTGTGGTTTTAATTATTGTAAAAGGTATAGCTATCAGGAATATGGCTATGCTGAAAGTTTATAGATGTTGTATCCATTCCATGGACATATAAAAACTGAACAAATAAATAGAAAAATAAAATAAAATTTTAATGGGAAATAGGAATCATTGGTTATTTGTAGAATTGTTATAAGAAGTATCCAAAACAAAATAAATGCTGCAATAAAAAGTAAACAAACAAGTAAAGTGATACTAGTTGGACAGATTTTAAAATAATTTTCAATCCCTACTTTTTAATATCCTAACATTAAAAAAATTTAAGATTTTATGAAAATAACAAAAAATGTATACGTAAATAATGATAAAACTAAACAGGGAGCATGCTTTTAGCTTTAGCAAAATTGAAATTAAAATTTCTCACCACAAATGGGCACATACCACAATTGTATTGTATAAGCTTTCATATCAAGTATGTATAATGTTCAGGTGTACTCATGTGATATAGGTAAGTAGTAATATCTGCAGTACAAGTACAGGAAGTGTTCTATGCAAAAACAAATTGAACAAGACAGCAAAAGCAAACTCAAGAACAAAAACTTTTCTTCTATACACTTACACATAGAATATTTTGCTGCAGGTTTTCTGTGACTGCTGGCTAACTTCTAAGTACATTATATAGAACTTCACTGGCTGTTTCAAATGCAGAAAGAAAATTTTACATGTGATGAAGATTGAAGCAAAAATAATGGTGTAATTAAATTACTCTTCAGAAAAATATCACAAAATAGAACTGTATTGTTAGGTTAGAAAGAAGGTTCCTAGGGCAATGTTCCACAATCCTAGGTAACCTACATCAATGATCATTCCTCTTATAGATAATCCAGACAGATAAACACCTGGTTCATACTAATTTACACAGTCTTCTGTACCACCCTTCAACCTGAGAATGACCCATACTCCAAAGGAGAAATGATAAGAAATACTGTGAAATGAGTATTAGTGACCACTGTGGTATGTAAACTTTTACTAAGATGGAGTATTAGTTTTTGACCTTTAAAATCCTCCTCACAATGATATTAACTAACCAAATAAAGAACACCTGCACAAAAATGTTGGCAAATTTATCTAAATATAACCAAATAAAAATATATTCTAGTAATGGAATGATGAAATTCAGTTTTTCAACTGCAACATAGGCATCAATTTATTTGAGATTTTCAAAGTACTCACCAACTTTTTTTTTTCTTTCTTTAATCTTAGATGCAACAGCCTTGCACATTCTCTTGGATAATATTTTCTTTTAAAAGTAGTTTTTACCAACGTTCTTTCCCATTTTGGAAGAAGAATTTCATTCAAATATCTCCTCTTGTCTTGCATGATCACAGTGTTACTACTGCTGCTGCTCTCCTTGCTCTGTGTTGAAATTCCTAATGTAACATTTCCTGAAATGGCTGCCTGAAATATCTTAAAAAAAAACAATGTTATTTAATAATAAATTACATTACACAAGCAGACTAAAAACAATCAAGAAGAAAAACAGTTCCACTTGCTTTTGTACAACTATCTTATGTACCTATGCAATGATTACTAGAATAAATAAAAATAATTGAAAGTATACTGGTAAAAAAAACAACTAATTTTCACTAATAATATGCAACATTAATATTTTTGCTGCACATCTATATTAGATTATTAAAACAATTAAAATTGTTTCCCTAATTTTGAAATGATATTCAAAAGGTAAGCAACTAGTCAACAGCTTAATAGTAGAATTTTGCCATCCCTCTTACAGCATACTGTTCAAAAGTGTTGAGGGCATTCTTTTGACAAGAGGCCACAAACCATAAATCCTCAGATTTAGTCTGAATATCCTAACCACAAGGCTATGCTTGACCTACTGAAAACTTTAACATGAGTTGTGTTGATTAGAATGTTTAAAAAACCCTCCAGGGGAATAAAACAAAAAAAGTGATGTAAAATTTAAAAGTCTGATATATGTAAGTACATGGCACTCTTTGTCAATACCAGTGACCATAAACCAATTATGGATCTGGAAATATCACTATTCAGGGCTTGCATTAAATCTAGTAATCTGGCAAATTTCTGATTAATGTTACACTTTTACTGGTAAAATTTAGAAGGAATTGGAAAAAAAATTGCTAGGACATATTTCAGAAGGAAGAGTCACACATTTTTACTGTGGAGTATCAATACACCCATGATACAAGTACTTCAGTCAATTATATTGCAAGATTCTGCCTACACATGGTTACTCTAATTTTGATTAACAAAACTGTTTCATCTACAGGTTCCATGCTAGTGTTGTGTTCCCTATTTGAGCTGCATGACATACCCAGGCTAAGTATTAGGAAATGGGGTTAGCAAGAACACAGCTTTAACTAATTTGATTGCTTGCCAAGGCACCAGCTTTGAAGAACAGAAATCTTTTTTCTTAGTATAGGATTGTCATCAGCAGTGAGAAACTGTAGACTTTGTTGATCCAAGAGCTTGTGGCCAGCCTAGATACACCAGTTTCCTTCCAAATCAAACATCTTTTAACTTTGTGAAATAATTAAAGTAAAAACAGTGTTTTAAGCATATGTGTTTTGATATTCTAAAATATTTGAAAAAAAACATGACACAGAAGATTTATACATATAATATGTTGAATATCACATATTAATTAACATTCATTTCATGAAATAATTATGATGCAGTTAATTTTACAGAAGAAGAATGTTGTTGCTGGTAGCAGTCCTGAAGTTATAATTTTCCTACACTGAAAATGTATTTTCGATAGGTACTTACCTCCTTTCATATAAATAGCTATTCTTGTTCAGTGCTTCCCTCTATATGGAAAAAAATTATATGCATGCCACAAGTCTTTTATCTCCCCCTCCATTGGAATAGACTGATTCCAATGCGTCTCTCATGCAAATCATCATGCCTCAACCCTCACCAATACGAGTGTGACCTACTCTCATAATGTATGTGACTCCCTCTATTCAATTCTACCAAACTATCACTTCAACTTTTGGCAGAAGATAGAAGCACAAGTTATCAGTGGGGAGGAAGGGTGGGAGGTGGTAAGTACCCATTGGAAATACATTTTCAGTATAGGAAAATTATAACTTTAAATACAATACCTTACCTCCTCTCACATAAATAGCTAGAATCCCACATTGAACAGGTGGAGGGACCAGTGCGAGAGAAAAAAAGAGGCACCCTCTAAAGCATCCGAAGGACACTCACTAAGATGAGACAGTCAGATTATAAGATGTGATGTGGGGAATCACACCAGGTATACTCTTCGCCCATAATAGAAAGATTTCGTATACATGGGCAGAAAACAGAGGAGCACATCCAATTGGGAGAGAAAGCCGAAAAGTGATCCAAACCTTGAAACATTTATGAAACTCAATCCCAGAAATTATACAACTGTGTAAAATGAAAAGGATTGGCCCCTAGATGTGGAGTGGCTAGGGTGCGATGGACCGTACACGGCAAGTCAACTACAACTAAAACCCATGCCACTGGGAACTAACATCCACGTGGACAAAATCACTTGGAGAAGAAGAAAAATGGGAGAATAGACAAATGTGTAGATCCAATTTTGACTGAAAACATCGATATCCAGAGCAAGAAGACGAGGAACCGGTGACCAAAACCAAGGCAACTTGTGGTTATGGGATGTAG